TATTTCATAATCTATTGTAAATGTTTTTAATATGTGTATTTAAATTTCAAAAATATTTTAAAATTATTTGAAAATTTCAAAATTATTTGATATATTTCATATTATATATTAATTTTACACAATTTTGAATATTTTGCAATATTTCGAAAACTTTTGAAAATTTTCAAAATATTTCGCAATTTTGTAAAATATTGCGAATTATTCAAAAATTTTTGAAAGTTTTCGAAATATTGCGAAAGTTTATGAAATATTTTTCAAATTTTTATTTTATATATGTGTTTTTAATATATTATATTTGCAAAAATTTCGCAAAATTTTTTGCATTTTTTTAAAATATTTTGCACTATTTTGCAATTTTTAAAATTTCACAATCTGTCACGTCAATTACAATTTTTTTGCAATTTTTTTGCATGCAATAACTTTTAAAATTTTGCATCTATATTTTTTGCCGATGTTAACAAACCAGAAAGAATATTTTTATTTATAAATTCTGTCAAAATCTTCAGAGATACTTCAAACTTGTTAAACTGAATAAAAGATTTTATTTGACTAACAATATCTTTATCTCAAAAAAATATAATTGTTTTAACATGAAGGCTACATCTTGATATCTATAGTTTAATGTATTTAGAACTATGTTCAAGTCTGAAACATTTTGCTTTAGCAAAATGTTTCAGCTTTTAATATTTACTATATGTATTATAGTTACTAGAAACTTTCAAAACTTAACGTAGTTGTTTGTTCACGTTCAGATATTTTTAGCATGATATGACCCTTTTTCAAGAGCCTTACTTATTACCCTTGCTGTATCCATTTTTAACCATTTTCTATTAAGTAGATTAAGATATTGAAACATAGCCTGAAGGCGTAATTTGAGAACAGGTGAGTTTTGTTGTTGAATATTTTTTTGAAGGTCTACAATTGCGATTTTTAAAGAATCCTTTTCTTGTTCCTCATTCTCATCAATTTCATCAATATCTTCGAATTCACATTCCTCTAATGACTCAATAATAGGAGCTTTATTAACAGACATTTTTTCTCGGGTTACTCCAAAAAAAGTTTCAAGAGTTGGCGTTTGCAATGCAGTCTTTTTAAAAAAAACCTCCCATCGCCATCCATCTTGTTGTCCTTGAATTGCTCATATATACTAAAGGCCTTTGCTTATTGTTTAACCAAACTTTACTTATCTTCATGAGCTTAAGCAAGGCATTTCTATGATTTTCACTTGTTGTATAGCTTTCATCCTCATTGACATAAAATTCGCAATCAAAATCATCACTTGGATAATTACTTTTGTCGACATCAGGCCCAAAATCCAAAAACTCGCATTCAAAGTTATCATCTGGATAACTATCTTCATTGGATACTTCATTTCTTAAACATTGTCTTTTTTTCTTTCGGGTCTCTGATGCTTTGAATACTTTTCTTTTTTTTTTTAGATGGACAAGGCATACTTGTTATACACGGGTATATGATCTGTTTTTTTTTTTTTTTTAAATACATAACACTTTAGCGCTTTTGCACTTCTAATAATTTATTTAAGCCTATAAGAAATTATTCATATTTGTTTATGAATTGATATGTTAATCCACGATTATAATATTATTTGGACTTATTTCCAATGATTAATTAAAATCAGTATGTGATTCCTCATATCCGCCTACTCAAAAATTCAGGTTTGTTTGGTCAAACCTGAGAAACTTACTGTTCATAGTATTTAAATTGGTATAAAGTTGTGTGATATACTTAGAAATATGGCGTTATTAAGTAACATATTTGTAAGAAGCCTTTTTTATATATTACCTACCTTTTTAGCTAACTATTGATTCACGTTACCTTCACTCCGTTATTACGATGATTCAAGAATAAAGTATTGCGAATCTGCTTCTTTTTATATGCAATATGACATTTTTACAAATCGGGCATACGATCACTTTTATTATTTGACTAATCAGGTCACAGATTTTCGATCACGTGATGTTTCAATTTCGCACCTTTAACTAGTAACAATTAATAACTTTCATTGCTTATAACTTTATACATGTTTTGAATGTGAAGAAAAACTAATCGTTATTATATTCCTCTATGTCTTTTCTATTAAATAACGATGAGTTTTAGATAAAAAAATCATTTAGAAAAAAAGTAGTAGCAATTCAAACTTTTTGCTGTCTTTAGCTTGTATGCACCGTAGAACATAGTAAATCATATGTTCCATAATAATATGTAACTTAGAAAAACTACCGGATTTCTGGTTCCAAAAATTTTAAAATATATACGTTCCAATTAATAGTTTATGTTGTACTACGTATCGTTTAACGAACATCGTATGGTTTGAAAATTATCATCTATATATCATTTTATTAACGTTAATGTATAATAAATAAATATATACATTTCTATTACAAATTAAATAATATATATATAGTACAGTACAATTTATTTAAATATATATACTGTATATTGACATAATAATATAATATATATATATAATATATATGTTAATAAGCTATAAAAAAAAAAATCTAAGCCAACCAATTAATAATTATAGTTACTGGTTTAAATAATATACCAGTTCAATAATGTTATGAATGTTAAATTTGAATAAAGTCTAACCTTTCAAATTATCTTAATATCATTGTACAATAAACAATATTTATTCATCGGCTAAATAAAATAAGACAAAATTATCGGGAATTTAACGAATATACTTTGTTTTTATTCATACAAGCCTCATGGCTGTGTACTTTTGATAGTTTTTAATCGCGTGTCTAATTTGTTGTGGATAGTAAAGACAGAGAATCAAAGGAATTAATAAATTTCGCCAACTTTTTATAACAAGGAATCATTTAATAAATTTTGCCAAGTTTTTTAGTTTCACAAAAGTCGGAACCGAGTTTAGGACCAGTCCTGAATTTTGCAGCTTGATATTATTGTGAACACACTGTGTCCATTCTAAACAACACTGATAATTATCTAATGAAATTTCTAAATATAGTAGTATGTAGACAGACAAGATCGATCGATTTATCGGCTGTGGTGGCTTCGTAATAATTCTTTTGAGATCTTGAAAGACATGTAAATAATCGCGTTTGTATGTCATGTGAATAATTCATTAAAATAGATGATTTACAATGATGTAATACAAGCCCTGTGACAAAGCCTTTTTAAATAATTTCTCGAGAGACTAATGTATTTTCTTTGATCAGTTAGTTTTATTGCAAAGCCTTCACACACAAGTATAAACTTAATAGATGTTATAAGGAAAAAAAAAAGCATTTATAAATTTCACACTAAGGCGTTACTTGCTATTCGTACGAATGTATAAGTATGTAATGCATTACTCTTGTGTCAAAGTCTTTAATTAAAAAACAAATTCATTTTATTGAAATCATGCTAAGCCGCATCAATGGTTGATAGAAAATCCAGATTTTTTTAAGATCATTACTCATCACTATATCCGTAGTCATGCGCCGGGGAGAAGGCTCGGCCACCTATCGAACATCGGTCGAACGAAGTTAAAATTGAAAAGACGAATATAATTTACGTGACATACAATAATAAAGATAATAGTTAGGCTATTTTCAAGCATCTCAATCCATAATTTATAGAATGATCTGATTGACTAAAAATAAATAAATAAATCGTAATAATCGTTTAAGTCAAAGAGCCCGCTGTGATTGGCTGAATTTTGTGATCAATCACTGCCTGAGAACACTAAGATATTATTAATTAATTCCTTAGTCAATTTACGACTAAAATTTATGTACTTTTTGAACATTAAAGCAACAATTCTGTCAACTAAAGCGATACTTTAAATGATTTAAACTATGCCTACAAAGACCAGAATGAGAATGGATTCTAAAAGTTTTATTTAAAATACAAAGTATGTTTTGCTCATTACAAAGTAGGACACATAGCAAATATAGTCAGCATAACATCATTATTCGTTATTATCCTATAATTTAAATATTACAAACGTCCTTTTATGTTGTGAACATGTATATAATTAAAAGAGGTACGTAAAATTCAATTATAATCAAATTATATCAAAGCTTAATATAATAAACCACCAATGAATAAAGCAACAAAAGAACCAATGATCATTCCAAAACCGTCAACACGAACGCTTGAAGCAGCCGATGCTTTGGCAGAGGTTGTGGCTGGAGCAGAAGCACTTGAACTTTTTTTTTTAAAAAAAAAAAAAGATATTGTCAATTATTGCAAATAATTAAAGAAAAGCTTAAAAATACTTACGATGGAGAACTGCCCTTAGCAGGAGCACCACTAGGACTAGCGGGAGCACCACCACCACCACCAGTGGGACCAGCAGCAGGGCCAGCAGCGGGAGCACCAGTACCAGAGGGACCAGCAGGAGCAGTACCAGAACTAGTAGGAGGAACAGCAGCAGGACCAGCAGGAGCACCACCAGTAGGAGTGGGACCAGCAGGTGCCTTAGCGGGAGCGGAAGATGAGCTGAGATCATAGAAAAGTATGAAACATATTTAGAGAAAAAAAATTGAGTTTTAAAGTTACAAACTTTACTTACTCTGTTGGTGATGGTGCTTGGGCAAGAACGCCAGAGGCGATAAGAATACACAAAAAGAATAAAATAATCGTATTTTTAGTGATATTCATTTTGTATTAGGAGTGTGAATACTTTTTTTTCTATTTTTTTATTTTTTCACTTTTTTAGTTCAAGTAGACGAAGTTTATCATTAATTTTTACGACTTTCTGAATAAAAGGAATGAGAACCCATATTTATAAGAAACCATGAGCATAGACGTGCCATTTTAGTTAAAGATGCATTAGCTAACTAGTTTTGAACATATCCGCTCTTTCCGTGTCGGGTGCAGAACGCCTCTCTCTTTATGATAAAGTCTATGCATAAATAATGAATAAAAAAATTTATATATATTTTTTTTGATCAGTGATTCAAGTTATGATGTTGAATTAATATCACTTAATTTTAGTTCAATACATAAAAGTACGAAGATAAAGTTTTATTTTATTTTTACAAATTGTCCTTATAATTTAATATGTACTGTACTGTATGCACTAAATGAAAATATTTTAATATGGATAAATCATTTTTCTATGTAACTCGATTCTTTTCCTTTAAATGGTACATTTATACTAATAAAAATTATGTAATAAATTCTTGAACTAACAACTTCATAATCTAAATAAAATAAATAAAATATACACACAATTTAGATACTAGAAAATGGACCGCTATTCAAAATTTTAGAGGATTACTTCAGTTATCACTTCAACAAATGTAATTGCATGAGACATTCCTATTAAATTATACATCTTTTTTCAACCTTATAAGAGAGAAAATATATAACAAACTTCGTCTTATTCATTTTGAAATGTATCGGTATTAGTTTTTGAAATTCTGGTCATCCAACCTAGGAAACCAGTATTTCGTTATATATAATGATTATATATCTGTTATAATTAACCTGTACGGTAATTTCTTTTTTTTTTATAAATTGATCACAAGATCACGATATGATTGGCCAATTAACATTTTATTTCTTGTAGTTGGGGCTTACACATGAATGGTAGTTTATAAAATTTTACCCAAATGATAAAGTTCCCAGTATTTTGCCGATTTTCCCCGACTAACTATGTCTATTTGGTAATTTACCATGGTAAGTTACCGTTACCATTGACAACTCTAACCCTGGACTTATATATTGCATGATTACGTGATTTTCATTGCTATATATAAATTATCCTTATCGATATACTCCATTTAAAAATGATGTAATCATTATAACGGCGTACGCACATACTGTAAGTACAGGCGTTTAAAGGTGAAACTGGCTTTAAATAGTCGCTGATATGACTCGGATTCTTGGCATTGCTTCCTATTTATAGCCGATATAGGAAAAAGTGCAGAAATAAAAATGAATATATTATAAAGATCGGACAGATATAATATATATGCCAGTTTTAATAGTAGATTAGACCTTTGAAAAACTTATATAAAGAATGAAATATCCCACATCAATAAGTATTTCGAGCATTTTGTTTTTTATTTTATAAAAAATTGGTTGTTATTTATAGTACCCTGTTTTTTTACATATATATATATTATACGTATACTATAGAGTTATTGGATGCTTCGCATCCAATAATGAGAATTATTTTTCTAGCTAAATGATTTCATGTGATCCGCAGCTGTATTTTTAGTATGTCCCGAAGGGACCCAGAAGCTGGCATATTAAGTTTTACTGCCAGACACAAAAGTTATTGGTACTTCATTGGCATTCAATAACGGTATTATCCGGTATCCTATAACGAGAGGGCTTGCGAAATGTCTTTATTTTGCAGTTGCTTTTAATATAAAAAAAAAAAAAAAATCAATAACCCGGTTTTTTTTGCAGTAGTAAACTGCCAAATAATTCGAGTTGTTGCTTTTTTTTTTTACATTAAAAACAACTGCTGCCAAACAATGAATCAATGCATAAAATTGTGGCATGACGTGTCCTGATTATATGTATACAAAACGGAATTTTGGATCTGCAGCCGGAGATATTAATATTTTTTTTTTTTTGCATTCATTCATTCATTTAAAACATTTGGCTATCGCTATCGCTATTGCTATATATTAATTACATATATCCAAGAACAAAATTGCAGTTTACAATATAAAAAAAAGCTAAATCCAAATATACATTAAATCAATTTATTGTTCGTATCTATTTTTTATATTATGCTATTCATGATACAGTATATTTTATTCCAAATTATTTTTTTACTTTCTTTTCCTTATGAAATTTACATAAACGTATCTAAAGTAAATGTAGTTTTTTTTTTTTTAATGTTAAAGGTTAAAGTAAATGTAGTTAAAAGATGTGCAAATGAGTTTTAATTATATTTTGTTTGAAAAATTCATGTTCACAATTTACACTTGAAAAAGAAATGTTATTAATAATACTGTATGAGCTAGGTGCTAAGAAAAGGAATAAATTTGACAATTTTACAAAAGATATTTTTTTATATAAATCAATTTAAAATAAGATTAGAATTATTTTTTACTTAAAATACAAAGTAGTTGTATTAATAAAATTTGCAATATAGCTTCTTAAAGTTTGTATTTTTTTATAATTTATTATAAGATTTACAAAAAAAAAATTGTTTTTTTAAAGATTTTTTTTGTTGTTTTTTTTTTAGTATTTAATCTATATAAATAGTGTTTCTATGAACCTGAACTGAACTAAACTTTTGTCAAGTTCCAATTCAAGTTTAGTTCAATTATGTTTAATATTGAACTTTTAAGTCAAGTTCATGTTCAGTTCAGATTTAGTATTGAATTTTTAAGTCAGGTTCATATTTAGTTCAAAGTTCATGAACATGTTTAGGTTTAGTAGTAGTTTAGTAACAAAATATAGTAAATTTTTTTATTGTTTTTAGAATTTTTAAATTTGAAGTTGACAAATCAGACCAATTAGAAGAGGCAACTAAAGAAACTAATCATAACGAACCGATAAAACCTGATTTTTAAAAAAATCTTTTTTTTTTTACTAAGTAAACCTATTTTCAACTGCTAAGAATAGCAGTTAAGATATTAA